GCGACGGCACGCAATAACAAGACGCTTCGGGGATGAGTACAACTTCACATGAGCACCCAAACATGCCCTCTCAGCGAGGCTGGGTCACTGTGAGTTGACGCGCACAGAGCGCGGAACGAAACGGGGGCACGGGGTACGTGAGCTCTTATCTCTTGCCACAACCCGCAGCTCAGGCTGGAAGCGCTCCGGAACTTGGTACGACGAAGACTCCCTGACGCCTGCAATGCCTCGGTCAGCCTAGACGAGCAATCTCACCGCCAGAGATTGTGCATTCGGGGCGGAACGACCGGTCCTCATGCCTCATGTTCAGAGTATTGTCATGTGGGCCTGCCATGCCTTCTCAGCTTCGACAGTCTCCGCTCCGATGGGTGTACACACAAAGAGCCCTGATCGACCTGGGCTGGCTTGTTTAGCACGTCATAATCTGTGCAAGAACAATGACCAACGTCGTGTATCAGTCTTCTCTGCTCGATGCGACAATGTGAACTCACGGCGGTCTGCTGCTGCGCATTCATCAACTCTGTCTGGTCATGGAACCCTGCGCATTGTCCTCGCGGCATCGGCTTGCGGCACGGGCAACCGGTTGTCATCGATGCGGAAGTCCAGGACGTCCAGGACTCGCGTCTCGTTTCGTTCAGGAACATTCACGCTTGAGTAATGACTTGGCAGTCTGTGCAAATGACATATGCACAAGCGTGCTCTGTTGGAAGTGTCGACCATTGTCGCACGACAAGGTGCGTCTTACGCTCCTAAGTCGATGTCGACGTACGCGAAATGCACTCGCGTGCGCATCGATGAAGTCCTATCGGCGACGCACAAGGCTACACGAACGTCGGCTTCGCAGGCTGTGGAGCGTTGCCAGAAGAAACAGTCATGCGCGCCTTCCGCCGTTGATCTCAGAGCTCGCCAATATCGTCACACCTCTCGCCGTCCGCGCACGTGGAGGTGTATGCCGAGGAGAAGTTTATCCAGGCGTCGCTAAGATACGTCCCACGCGATGTGAGCCACGAAGTTACTCTTCCTCGTCACCATCACCCTCGTCTTCGTCCTCGGACACCTCCTGGCCAGCCGCGCGCAAGGCTTCCTTGTCCCGTTTCCTCTTGGCACTCAGCTCCTCGAGGAAGACAAGCAAATCCTCGTGCTCCTTCTCCTGCTCCCGTCGCTTCTCTTGCACGCTCTCGAGCTCCTGTGCTAAACTTGCAACCTGCGCCTGTAGGGCGTCACGCTGTACCATCCAACGTTAGCACGGACACCGCGGCCACCGAGAGCTAGAAGACACACCTCTTCATCCCGCGAGCGCGCCGCCTCCTCGAGCGCCTCGACTTTCTTCAACAATGTACTCCGCTAACGCGCAGGGTCAGTAATAGCGGAAAGGTGACGCGCCCGCACGCGCTCGACGCACCTCTTCGTCATGCTTACGCGCAGCACCCTCCAGCCCCTCCATCTTTGTCTGAAGCTGCAGCCGCGTATTAGCAGGAAGCAGGAATGTCAACCTGAAGGGTCGTGCGCGTGTACGTACCTCGTCCTTCTGCGCTCGGCTCGCCTTGCGGAGGGCGTCCAGGTCATCGGCCTGCCGCTGGATTACCTCACGGAGGGAGGCGATAAGCGTCGCGGCTTCAGGATTCGCAGCTAGGCAACGTTCAGCAAGGGAACACTGCGTCACAGGAGAAGGAAACGTACTGTCTGCCGCGCGTTGCGTATTCGGGTCCGCGTGTACGCCACGTTGTATTGTGTCTGGAGGAAGATTCCGCGTGAGCCAAGAAAAGAAAGCGAGGAGTAGATCTAGGGGTTCCGCAATGCGGCAGAAATAAGGAGCAAAACGCGCTCTCTACCCGGACCAATGACCCGCACAAGACGCGATGTTGCATCCCGAGCAGGCTGCAGCCGAGAACCCGCATTCCCGAGATAGACAGATATGCGTACAGAGCGCGCAGACGCAGAGCCCAATGGATAAGGAGAAGATGGATGGAAAAGGGGGGAGGGTGAAGTAAAAGTCAGAGTGAAGGAAGTGTGCACTGCAGCGCGTCGCGAGCCAGGGGAGCAATCCCAAGATATCACGGTCCGTGGTCCACAACGATCCGCGAACGGAATCTCCAAATGCAGCGCGAAGCTCGTGGAAGGAAGGTGACGCAGCAGAAACCGCGCTGAGACCGCTACGTTGGCGGGCCAACATGTTATGTAGAACGGAAGAAAGGGGGAGACCTGGGAAAGGGGAATGGTACGCACAGTAGTTGCTCTTCCAGAACTCGACAAACTCCCAGGCGAACCACATCTCGCCCTCGTCCTGCGCTTCGGCGATGTGTCGCGGGTACACGGACATGGCGCCCTCGGGCGCCGCAGAGCGGAAACGCTCGTCTTCGCGGAGACGGGACATGCGCGACGCGAGCATATCTGCACCGAGGCGCATGATCAGTGGGTATATTGTTGTCCTAGTGTGCGTTTTCTTAGTGAACGAAGGCGCAAACGCAAAAGGATGGAGCACGACGCACCGTGGAATCTCGCCCGGTTCGCGGTCGAATTCGTACAGGATGCCGAGGACGAATGCGCACAGTCCCTGTACGGCGGCGTCGACATCGTCCTGCCCGATCGGTTCCACAAGCTGGTACATACAACGTCAATATACACCCAATGTGCGACTGGCAGCTCACGGTAGACAGGACGCCGGCTTCCAGCACCTCCTTGACTGCGCGCGGATCGTCCCAGAGCCACTGCGCAAGCAAGCTGAGGATGCCAACAATACACCGATCCCACTCTCTCGCCTCGCGCTCATCCACTGCCCGTGTCCGCGAGAGCAACGCGAGCGAGAGGTGTTCCGCAAGCGCCTGCAACAGCGTCTGCGTCTCGTCGTCTTCGTCGCCAGGTGTATCCTGTTGCTGTTGTTGTTGGTGTTGGGCTGGTGCAGAACTATTGTCTGCAGGGACGAAGAACGAGCTGGTGTCGCCAGGCCCGGCGAGAGACGAACTGGGTACGGCGGTTGGAACGATGGAGCGAGCTAACGTCTTGGCGGCAGACGAAGACCGTACGAGGGACGCGAAGAGTACGGTGGATATGTGTAGGCGCGTTGCAGCAGGACGGGACAGGGGCGAAGTAGGAAGGGAGTTGATACCGGCGAGGAGCGTGGCTGCGGCGCCTGCGACAGGGTGCCCGCCTGCGCGTAATCAGTACGACGTTCGATCGAAAGGACATTGCGTACCAGCATCAGGCGTAAGTTGCTGCAGCATCCACAACTTGACCTCCTCGTCGCGTGCGTAATTCTAGAAGACAAGATATCAGAGGCGTAGACACTTCGCTGCGCAACTTCACCTCGAATACGGAAACTGCTGCACTGCGCAGACCCAAGTTGGTCGCGTCCAACGGACCAGGCATTGTCCCACTGTATTCGCCGTTTATGGCAATGTCGACGATGACATCGAGCGCAGAACGCGCCTCCAACCGATCCCATTCCTCTCCGTTCGTCTCGGGAACAGGGACGTACGGCGTTATTTGCAGAGCGAGAGGCGGCGAAAGATGTGGCAGGGACTGCAGCGCCTAGAAGCATATTAGCAAGGTAGAGTACTACCTGAATCGAAAGCGACGCACGAGAAGCTTTAGCTGCGTCGGCGCGTTCGACGCCAGCCCGAGTTCAACGAGGAAGCGGACCATGGACGAGTCTCCACTCGCCCCGCCTTTACTGCTGACGAGCATGGCAACGATTCCAAGAACAAGTTGGGCGTTGGCGGCCTTTTGGATGTCCCAGAACTGAAGCGCAAATTCTTGCGGTGCCGGTATGTGGTCGGGAAAGTTGGCGGGGAACAGGAAGAGCGGACAGAGGCTCGGGACAAGCCCGATTTCACGAAAGTAGTTCTAAGGATAGCGTCAGTGGAGGTTCTACGTTCACTCGACGCACGCACCTGATTGGAGACGTTATAACGGAGGAGCGTGTCGATGCATGCAAGCGATTCCTGGACGACGACTGTACCCTCGATGCCGCCTTCCTGGGTGACAATACCGAGCAGCTTCTCGAACGCGCCCCCGAACGCGAATATCTTCTGGATATCGGCGTTTTGTGCGATGAGGACTTGGATCACGGAGAGGACCTCTGGCGAGCGTGTCAGGTCCACGCCGAGTTCGTTCTACTTCGCGACGCACCATTGCGAATAATCTCGCGCTTCTCGTCGAGAACGCTGATGATGGACGACGCGTCGCTCGTGCGCAGAAAGTGCGCCTGGACCGCTTGTCGTCTGTGGGAGAGCAAGGTGGAGAGCAGCTGCAGGGCGGAGAAACGGACATAGAACGCGGGGTCCGTGAGAAGACTGAAGACGGCCTGAGCGGCGTTGGGGTCTGCCAGCACGGCGTCCGCGTGTTTGAGCGCGGCTTCGCGTCCGGGACCGGGCTCGGCGTCGCACAGCACCAGCAGCGTCTCCAGCAGCGCCTTGCCCAGATCTGCATCCACGCTGGCGTCGGGGAGCGCGGCGAGCAGCGCTGGGAGAGCCATTGAGCCGACGTCGCCTGGCATGTCGCGCGCGAGCCCCTTGAGCGCGAGAATCGACGCGCGACGGTCTGCTATAGATGGCGCCTGAGCCAGGCGGTCTGCCAGCTTGGTTATCGTGTCGACCGCCGTCTGGGGCTCGGCGGCGGGCCCACGTATGGCCGTGTACGTCTGGGAGAAGAAGTCCATCGTTCGGTGCGGGAGCCAAGAGACGCGGAGCGGACTTGCGATCACAACAACACGCTCGTCCATCTTCAACAGAGCTACAGACTGTCAGAATATTTCTAGATCTACTCCCCCTTACTCTCATCCTCGGAAGAGCTAGTCGGAAGTGTACACGGAGGAGACATTGAAGAATCGCGACGGCATCTAAACTGTTCAACACTTTCGAGGAGAGCTTCATGTAGCACGTGTACGACAACCTGTATACAACATCAAGGCCATAATAAATCATTGGGAGCGACTGAAGGAAAAATGGATTGAAAACTAGGAGCTACCAAACGAGTGGTAAAGAAAAGGAACTCGAAGGGTATGCCTCAACGCCGGATTGAACGACGGACCTCACCATCGCATACTGGTACGAGTGGCGCGCTCTACCACTGAGCTATTAAGGCCTTGACATTATTCCCATGCTATGGTACACCTTCTACGTAAAGCTCTCCTCGAAAGTCTTGAACAGTTTATATGCCGTCGCGATTTCCTGTTGGGTCTGTGCCACATACCGTTTGTTTATGTCGGTGCATCTTTCTCATTCCTGTGTTAGGTGTATCCTACATGCCGTTTGTACGTGTCTAGGCATCCTTCGTCCGTACGGTGGGGGTCCGACGCTTTCTTCAGCTCTTCCCTTCGTTGGTAGGAACCTACAGGCAGAGAGTCAATCCAATCTCCATTACAGCGCCGCTCCTGTCCTCAGGTCTAAGTGTAACAGCCGCCGAGTTCTGTCACCGTTGCATCTGCCGAAGGAGGTGCTTCGACGCGCCGGTCGTCGCTGCACGTTCTTGTGGATTGCACCCTATTGGAAGGTGAGTGCTGAGATATGCAATCCGTTCTTCTCCTCACAGCATATAGACGTGAGAGTATGATCGCACCCCTGTCCTGCACGTTAACTTCTGAATTGCAACCGAACATGAACTCCCGGCGGCACCGCCAACGTATAAAGAGAGCGTCGCTGTTTCCTCCATCGTGCTCTGCCTTCCCCTTTTCGCATTCTCCCTCACACGGCTGGACCGGTTCATATGGCGAACTTACTCTTCTCTTTATTTGCCGTTGCTTTTGTTGCTGCTCAGGATGTGGCGAACCTAACGTTTACAGCGCCTTTTAGCGTCGACGTCCCCCTTCCAACTGAGTACGCTTTGTAATGCGATCTGTATCTGTTTGAGACTGACTCGAGTGTCAGTATCCCCGTTCAACCTGTCATACCGTACGCATGTCATGGTACTAGACCCGCTCCGAGTTCTTACTATATCTCAGCTCCACAGACTATACAACGGATGTTGTGTATGGTTTGTTCACTAAGACGTGAGATCCATCTAAAAGTACACAATTTGCAGGCCCTGGTTCGCTGGATATCGGCTCATACTCTTCATCCTGGGTCTTTCCGCCACCTCTTGCGCAGCGGGCGGTGGTATCTTTGCCTGTATCAAGGCCCGTAGAAGGCGCAAGCAACAGGAAGCCGAAGCTCTCGCCCTCAGTGGGCAACCTCAGATCGATGTGGAGAAGGGAAGCATTACTTCGACGTCAGGTGCGTTGGATCCTCCCTGCCGTCCTCCCATATCAAGACCAAGCTGAGAACTCGCTCATGCAGAGACTCTGCACGAAGGGAACTCTGGAACAGACGTCCACCCGCAGAAGCAGCGTCACTGGCCTCCTGCAGCTGCATGACTGTGATTCCTGTGACTTGAACGTGCGTGTAATACCTAGCCTTCCAATGTAACATTAGCATTCCTCGCTGAGATACCCTCAGCACTATGACTTCACCTCAATCACCGTAGACGGACGTCATCAGTAGTTTTTGCTAGGACGTACCCGTACCACGTCATTGCCCCCATGAACCCTCCTGTCTCTCTGTCAATGATCATCACCCGAACCGATACGGAATCCGACGTAGATCCGACGCTGCTTCGCCACGACCTCTACTAGTAAGTATTAGGCGTCAGGAACAGGGATAATATGCCATCTGAATCAAAGGACCGGAACATCCCGATGCGCTGATAATCAGTTGTAATGTCCGAGGCGATGAGAGATGGAGAAACGGATATGCGTGTTGATCTAATAGCGTAATACGAACAGGCAGTGTCCCTTCTGGTCATCAGACAGCCACCGGACGCGAGACAGAGATACAACGAGCGGGAAGCGCACGCACGCGGCAGGCAGGGGAGGCGGTAGAACAGTACAAAAGCGCCGAGCGACAACAAAAAATGACGCGACTCGGCCATCGAGCGACTATGATGTGAAAAGGTGGTAAGGCGCGACTCGATGAAGCGAAGGGGAAAGTTAGTCTAGTAGTGTGAAGGGAGTATAATTTGTGTGAGGGCTGGATGGAAATGAAAGGACGGCTGCAACGCGAACCGGGACGGAGCGAGGAACAGGAGAGGGAGAGCACTGCGACTGGCGTAACGACATGAGCGCGGGTAGCGGGTAGCGGGAAGCGATGATACAGAGAAGAGGAGCGCGACGGAGTGAGCGACGGACTAGCAATACAACACAGGACAACAACCGACCGACAACATGGATCAGGCAGTAAGATCCATACATCCACAGGTAACACCAGTGTGGGGGTAACGACGCACAAGCAGCCTGGAGCGCGTGCATGCGCGGAGAGCTGGTGCGGGACTGCCTCTTTTTACAAGACGAAGATGCAGTACGCATGAGCTCAAACGTAGTTGCCGCCAGAGGTCTGGTAGTAGCTGTCGATTAAGTCTGCAAAACTGTGAGTCGAACGTAGACGGAGTGCAGGTCACTTTTACGCACCGATTGGAGACCGGTAGTTGCGTACCATGGGGTGCACCGTCAGTCTGCTCGCGCGCACGTCCGGTGCGCTTGCACTGGGACTCGGTCCTCCAAATCTTCCGCGACCAGCGTGCGGAGGGTACACGGCACGCTGTTGGTACGGCCCTTGACTATGAGCGTTCGCGTTCCACTGCTGTGTCGGGCGGGCGCGCTTGTGCTGGGGGCTCGGCATGTTGGCAGGAAGTATATGCGGCATGTCCTCGGGTGCGAGACCATCTTCGAGATCCACTTGGTTGTTCTTCAGCGCGGCAGTCGAGTTCACATGGTCCGGGTGATGGAAGAGCTGGAACGCTGTGCCGTCCTCCTCGACGACGTCGCCGGGCACGACACGTACCATAGGCGTGGCGCTGTTGGGAGGCTCATTATGGGCCATGCCGAATTGTGCGCTGTAGCCGCTGGCGCTGTATCCAGAGTAGCCGCGGTTGCCGTCTTGCCACGAGCTCGTAAGCTGCGGCGTCTCGAAGCTGGCGACGCTATCGGGACGCGGCGGGCGATGAGGAATGGGACCGCGCTTCTCGGACCCGGCGGGGCCACCAGCCTCGGTCGGGGCGATGGAGCCATGGGTTGTGCGTTCGCGGTAGCCGGCTTCGGCCTCGAGATCGCGCGGGAAGAAGATGAGCAGGGTCATGACGCTGGACGAGCAACAGCCGAGAGCAGCAGCGAATGCGAGGATGTCGGTCCAAAACCTGGGCGAAGTCGATGTCAGAAGGTAGTGACATGGGGAAACTGTAGCAAGCTTACAGGCTCTCGTTAACGACCGGGTTGGGCAGCACGCCATCCAGACCCAGCACGAAGAGGGGCAGGACGAAGACGAAGCGGAACGAGACACGAATGATCTGAGGGTTCAAGCGGTCAGAATGACAGCAAGTGCGCAACGCGTTAAGGGACGCACGTTGATGTCGTGGAAGTGGCAGAGCCGAAGAACGACGCGTCTCTGAGTCCCCTCTGCCTTGAGCCTACGGAGGAAAGACGGGAAGCCAAACCTGCAGAGGAGTAAGTATCTTAGCATGAGCTCTCGCGCGGTACTCGATGACGCACAGAACAGGAAGGAAAAGCAGCGTGAGCAGAAGACTGCCCGAGCTGGCGATAAGGAACGTCCACGCCTCGGCCTGTACGTCCAAGCAAGACGCGTCGGCATAGGAAGTGCATTGATCGACAAGACCGGGTCCGCGCGATGCCAATGCGGTGATTCGGGCAATCGTTGCAGGTTCATGTGGATCATCATGGCACGCGAAGAAGGGTCGATCATGACGAGCAGTGAACAGCGCGGTGCGGGTCCGGGCGTCAGGTACAACGGTTGGAGCGCGCCGTATGTGCGATGGCGTGCGCATCACGTCGGGAGGAAGAAGGGCAAAGTTCAAAATAAACAGCGAGGAATTTCGTCAGTACCGAGTGGACGATGAAACGAAAGGAGTTAAATGCGTACCTGGAGCGGATCCTGGCGTTTGAACACTGTGACGAGTGGGATGCCCACGGCGCCGAGCAGCGAGCCAACACACCAGAGCTTGAAGTGCGGGCTGCGGAACCAGTGGGTCTCGCCTTGGCCCGATGTTGAGCGCAACAGGAAGAGCCAGAAGCACAGCTCTGTGTCGCCAAGACGCGAAGAGGACCGGACCGGGCATGCAGAGCACGGATGGCGGGGAAGAGAAGGATGGGATTGATGAGCGTCATGGATACGGGCACTAGCGCAGCGGACTGTATTCACCTTCAAGATGGGTCACGCTGAGAAGTCACGAGAGTCAGGACCGCAGGATGTTGGGAGGGGGATGGAATGTACGTACATCTCGAGGCCCCATGCGACGGAGAAAAGCATGTAGAGCGGGAACACCATACGCTGGTGGAGAGGCGTCCAGAACTGGTAGGGCTTCGGGATGACTGCGGTCGCGTGCGTGAGTGTGAGTGGACATAGGGGTCGAGAGAGGGGGCGCTGACCACCGAGGCCAGGGAGGTCAACCCATCCCTCCGAGTACTTGATGTACGTGAATCCAATCGAATACGTGCATATTAGAGGTACGCTGAGTAGGTACGTATACTATGAGGGTTGAGTGAGTGCGCAGTACGCGATGGGATCTAGGGGGTGGCACTGCTCACCGTCATGACACGCTTGAACGCGCCCGAGCCCGAGCCTGCGCCCCATTTGAGGCAGCGGAAGCGGTCGAAGGCCCACATGTGGGACACGAGGAACACGAACAGCTAGATTGGGGGCGTTGAGTGCTGAGAAACATCCAAGTACAGAGGTGGGACTGACGGTGCTGGAGAGCAGGCTCCATACGAGGAACGTCGAGGGGGATGTGTGGCACATTTCCTTGGTATCGCTGGCGAAGAAAGGGAGGAGGGAGGGGGGTTCGCGCGCAAGTGCAGCAGCGAGGGGACGGACGGGAAGAATGGAATGGGGAGGGAGAGCCGCGGGGCTTGCGCGATCGGGGCGAAGTTGAGGTTATGTAGGCCGGCTTCCCTGGTGATCATCGCGCGTGCGACCGCGAGATAGCGCGGGGCCGGGCGTCGGTGCATCACATGGAGACTGCCATCAAACATCGCACCGCCACGGCCACTGAGCATCGCCTGGAGAAATGTGCCGACCGTCTATCGCTCCCTGCGCAGGCTC